CGGACTTTTACGGTAATAGTACGGGTTCATAAGTGTAAAAAAAGAAGGACCTGTCCTTACCTGACCTGGCTTGTGCCTTGTTGTCGCACTACCTGACTGTATAAGATCTCGGTACCTTGATGGAGTGTTAGACATAACTAGTAACTTATTGTTCTTTTCCTTTTATACTTTTAGTATTGCCTCACAATCCGAGTATAGATGATCACAAGTGTGGATAGAGTTCTGTACATGTACCAAAGTGGACAAGAAGTATCACTTCTGATAATATGATTAAAAAGATGTTTGGTGCCATATCCTTCTCAATTGTACCCAATTCTCCTTATCTAAAAATTGCTACTCCTAGCATAGACTATGTGGCTCAGAGTGCGACATCTTGATCTACTCTTTTCAGGCTCATGTCGAACATAGTCCTTGTCCAGACACCTTCCCGTCTGCATGATGAGGTGTATCCTCGCAAAGTACATCGTGTGTATAGCGCATAGCTCTTGAACTGAATAGCTGTTGATAAAAGTAACCATATTGTTAGAGCCAAGCTCAATACCTTGATCACTGGATCCTTGTTCTTATTTGAATTTTTACCATGCAGTGTCACCACCAAGTATGCACTGTGGTACCGCCCTATCTCCAGTAGCAAACGGAAATGTCATCTATCCAAGTGGAGATGTATTTCCTTCGCAAGCCTTCCTCGTTTGTGATCTGGGATATACAAAGAGTTCTACCAATTGGTACGCAGATTGTGGAACGGGTGGCTCATGGGCAACCACGAGTGGTCCTCAGACTTGCAATGGTAAGGGAAATACTAACGACTAGCCTCCTAATCTGGTTTGTCCTAAGTCCCAAGAAACTATTCAGTTTGAACCACCGATGCATTATGTAGGGGTATAATGCAATAAATAAATAATGAAATAATGCATGCATGCACTTGTCTGGCAAATGTATGTTTGAAATGAGTTCATTGCTTTCCTACTTTCCAATACAGTTAACAACTGCCCTACACCTGCAATTACGAATGGAATGGTTACTGGTAGTGCACCAGTATTCAATGTAGCCTGTAATGCTAACTTCGGCATAGTGGGGAATCCTACCGTGACATGTACAAGTGGAAACACGACCACGACAGTCCCCACCTGTGAACGTTAGTACAGAATGTGTAATAACGTTATGCCAATAGATTCACTTTAAACCCCGTGTCCATAATAGCCAGTTTCAACTCTACTTGTACAGTATAATACATAATGCAGTATCATACATAATCTAGCTAGACTAACGGCAAGTAAATATTCGGGATCAACAAAATCATGTCCAGGTTGATAAGGCGTAAATATTCTAAGGAGATAACTAGGCATGTTACGGCAAGGGTGTTCTGAAGCTTCGGAACAGCACCAGTGTGATTGCTTCTAGACCAGCGGCCGTTCCAGGCAACATACTGGGCAAAGGTGATTTGTATATCTCCTGAGCCGTGGTCCGCGAGATTTTCGCATCACTATGCACGTGATTTTAGCATGATTCTTCCAGGAAATTTCAAAAACTGCACTAAGGGAGGGAGAGAGGGAGGGAGGAAGAGAGAGAGAGAGAGAGAGAGAGAGAGAGAGAGCGAGAGAGAGAGAGAGAGTAAGAGAGAGAGAGAGAGAAATAGAGGGAAACAGACAGAGGGAGAGACATGAAGAGCCTAGGTAGTTATGGCAAATGTTTGCGAAGAAGCAGATATGGGAAGCTACCACTACAACTGTGTGCAGCAGCAGAACTGAAGATCCTATTCCTTCATTTTGCCTGAGGAACGCGCAAGCGTGATACTCTGAGTTGCCATGAAGTACGTGTTCCACTTTGCTCGTGATAGTATATTACACGGGGCAATTGAATGTTGCTCTTTTCGTTTTCCAACCACAGCGATTTGCCCGATCCTCAACATTTCCAATGCCAGTTACAGCACAGCGAACCAACTCGTTGGTACAAATGTCAATGTCACTTGCAATAGCGGATTTGAAATGTTTGGTCCTCAAACCGTCACCTGCCAGGCATCTCAGTTATGGACAACCATTCCAGAATGTGAAGGTAATAGAACTGGACATGCCATGCAGTTGAATTAGCGAAATACCGAAAAGGACAGTGAATGGGAAAATGGACATCCCATCAATTACCTTGCCATAGGAAAGTATACCTGAAACCTGTATATGTATTTTACATTTCCTTAACGACATAAATTCTTGAAAGTTTATCATGATAGCCAGCCTTCTGACAGACAAAGCAGAGAAATAAACAAAGCAGATGCTATGGTATTTTATTCCACTACATTACGCTACTATGTTTTAGGAAGTGGTTTATAAACTCGCCTCTTCAGTTACGTCCAAGTCTGACATACCAGAAGCCATAGGTAGAACAAAACCTGACCTAACTGATATTTGTTTAGCCCCGTTTGTGTGATCTCTTGGAATTATGCCTTGTGTGCTTACAGCTATTGTCTGCAAGACCTTGCCTACAATCAACAACGGCGGTGCAACAGCCAGCAGCATGACAAAGTATGGTGTACTACACATCCACTGCAACACCGGCTATACATTGTCTGGAATGGCAACTTCCAAATGCCTGTCTAATGGCTCCTGGGAAAGTCCCATAGCCAGCTGTACCGGTGAGAAGACTGAAATATCTCCTTGTGTATACAGTACATACATTACATTCACTAGTTGAGAGAATGGAAAAGGGTTAATTAAGTCATCCTACAGCTCAGCCTTCTCCAATAAGGTCTCAATAACCGAAACAGCTGTTAGTCGGAAAAGTGTTTCAGTACTGTAGAATGAAAAATTGCAGCCGGTAATTTTGTTGCCTTTCTCTGGATTTAGACCAATTCGTGGTGACATTTTCAAGGGCCAAATGGTGCTGGTTGCCTTCTTCTACAGCCTAGCAGAGTAAAAGCACAAGAATACCAAATCATTTGATTATATGGGTGATAAAAGCCTTTATCACTCCCTTAGGGACCATCGCAAAAGTTCGCAGAAGCCCCCGAAACGAAGACCGTGAGTTTCGGGCCTGACCCCCCTCCCTCCCCCCTCAAACGAAACGACAGTCACAATATGGGCTTCATTTTTTCACTTCGATGCTCACACATACAGTAATAATTACTATAATATACTACACAAGCATTGTTGTATCAGTGTGTTACAATGTACAGCACTTTATAAATGCAACGATGATATCACCTTGCAGTGGGTGATCTAAGAACGAGAACAGCTAGAGCTATGCAGTTGTATCCTTTGAGCATTACAATGAACGTTGATTGGTGTATATTGCTTTCACATTCAAGCGATCTACGCCGGCTGTGATGGCATGCTAATCCTACAGCTCCTATAATTATGTCGTCAATACTTTTTTGAATTGAAGCCCGGTTTGCGATTTTCGCACCGACTCCCTCCCCCCCCCCAAACGTATGCTCTTCGTTTCAGGGGCTTCTGCGAACTTTTGAGATGGTCCATAAGTATTGACTCCCATTGATTTTCAGTATACCTAAGCAGTCAAATATTCCTGCATATTTCACTCCTTAGGGCTATACTGACTGCTTATATTTGACTGCTTATGGGTTGCGCAGTTGAACGGTGCCTAGTGCAGCATTGTCACTGCATGAGTAGGTGGTGGTGCAACGGTTGTGCAATCATAAAACCGGGATTCATGAGGTTATCGTTCTGGAATTTGAAATACGGACTGTTTGTCGTGATAAATCTTAAATTTACTTTGTACTTGGTCAGTATAGGAAATAAAAACGTCGTAAAAGACCTCGGCTTCGCCTCGGTCTTTTAGGGACCATCGCAAAAGTTCGCAGAAGCCCCCGAAATGAAGACCGTGAGTTTCGGGCCTGACCCCCCTCCCTCCCCCCTCAAACGAAACGACAGTCACAATATGGGCTTCATTTTTTCACTTCGATGCTCACACATACTGTAATAATTATTATAATACTACACAAGCATTGTTGTATCAGTGTGTAACAATGTACAGCACTTTATAAATGCAACGATGATATCACCTTGCAGTGGGTGATCTAAGAACGAGAACAGCTAGAGCTATGCAGTTGTATCCTTTGAGCATTACAATGAACGTTGATTGGTGTATATTGCTTTCACATTCAAGCGATCTACGCCGGCTGTGATGGCATGCTAATCCTACAGCTCCTATAATCATGTCGTCAATACTTTTTTGAATTGAAGCCCGGTTTGCGATTTTCGCACCGACTCCCTCCCCCCCCAAACGTATGCTCTTCGTTTCAGGGGCTTCTGCGAACTTTTGCGATGGTCCCTTATTCGGCATTTATTTCCTATATTGACCTCGTACCCAGTCCATATTAGCTACGTATTACATGTCAGGTGACCGTTTCCAGGTCTACAGCCAATCAGCGACCAGATAGAGCGGGCAATATTTCTCCATACAAGCCCGCTCATGTGGTCCAATATTACACGATATCAAGAGTAGATAAACAAGAGTGTGCAACTCCGGATCAAACCCCTGAGGGGGGAGGTTTGTACATGTAAATTGATTAATGTTGTAGATGACATGTTATGTTCTGTATCTTTATAGGTTGTATGTTGTCATAACTGAATTTCATTACTATTGCGATAATATCTATCTATGGGTTGGAAATTGCTTGGATATCTACTCTGCATAGCATGTTTTGCCTGAAAAGAGCTCTAGAATGGTTGTAGCCATTTTTGTTGTACATGTATATCAGTGTGTCTGTGGGTGTGTTTGCTATATGCAGAGATGACATGCACTTCTCCTCCATCAACACCGGCAAATGGAGCTGTAACCACCGGTACCAATACACTTTCATCAGTACTTCAGTACAGTTGCAATGAAGGTTATCAATTGAGTGGAACGAGTTACACAGTATGTCAAGCCGATGGGTCTTGGTCAACTGCCAATCCAATGTGCACACGTGAGTATCATACGTTCTGCACTACTATTCATTGCATATAGCTGGTATGGTGAGTCAATAAATTTACGGCACATGTGTATTTTCGGCTGTCTTTGGCCTGATCATATCTGGCCGAAAATTTGTTGCAGCTGAAATGTGTTTTAGCCCTGGGAGTCCAAAATTTGAATGGGGCGAACATTTGTCGACTTACAGTATTCTGTAGAGAGTGACTGCTGAAAAGCATAGCCCTGGGCAATCAAACAAATCGAACATCACACAACACGAGCACGAAAGAACGAGACGGCTGGGCGCTTTCGGGACGCATTTCCTTCCCTGAAGGACTCGAATTTCGGCAGCAGCGAAGCTCTGCAGAAATTTAAAAAATATTGAGCAAATCTCGATTTGTGCGATTAAAGCATGATATTTTTGCGTCCGGAAACTGGCCGTGCGCCGACCTCCACTTGACATTGCAGATCGAGGTGATCGATGATTAAGATCAGAAAACGTAGAACCCATTTTACGAGACATGTCCTGGGTGGTGGTAGTGGAGATAGTCCACTGTCCTGCAGTGCAAGTTTCAGGACAATAGACGACGTAAGTGGTTCCCGCCATGGCCCTTGAAATTTCGCTATTTTAGCGATGCAAATTAGTGATATGTGGAGATGATAGCCATTGCTTTCCTGGATGTAGCCATTGCTCTATGTGGTGGTTATGTGAAGACTACTCAGGTGAGGTAATGTTGGCATCGTGCTGGTTTGTTTTCAGCTCCTTGTGTATGCTGTACCAGCGCTAGTTTTTGGACCCAAAATTCAGTCGTATTTTGGGCCCATTTCGAGGTGGTCCCAGTTCCAAGGTGTCCGTAAATTATGGAGCAAGCCCTTTTGCATGGTTGTTGTAGACCCCAAAGGAAACGTACTTGCAAAACTTGAGGGAAATCTAAGAGATGGCCCAGGCCAGCTTTTCTGGGTTTCTCAGACATACTCTGAAATTTCTCCAAAAACGTGACCGACTGTACGGGTCAAACACTGTGGCTGAATTATGAGACAACTGCCCGTTTGGAATTTTCACCGTGAGACCTGAACGTAGAAGACAGTCGGTGGACGTAGTTTAATGACAGCCTCAACGAGTACATCATATACATGTTTCACTGTATTTAATCACCTGTATCTAATGTGTGCAATTCACTGCTATAAAAGCACATGTCCTTGTCTTTTGACTACAGAGATTACATGTCCTATGGCTACGCCACCTCCAGCAAGCGGCACTGTGTCCAGTTCTGCAAACACCTATTTATCATCTCGTCAGTACTCCTGCATGACCGGATATACGCTGACTGGTAGTACAGATACGGTTTGTTTGTCCAATGGAAAATGGTCCGGCACTCAGCCCATATGTTCAAGTAAGTGGAAATGCCAATGTTATTATAGCGATGTTCCTCTTTAATTCAGGACTTCACAAAACAGGAAAACTTTTCAGAAACCAAAACATTCTGAGATTTTATTAATCTTGCACCCTCCCTTATCTATCATAACTTCCAGGGAGCAAACGGTGCCGGATTTTTACCCGCATCTGTACATTAAAAAAACAGGGAATATTTGCATTCGTCAGTGGTCGCTTTTGGTTTAGTTTTGAGTTTTCCTTTTTGGTCAGGCTGAAAGTATGAAGCCAAATTGCCACTATATAAAAAAAATACAAATTACAAATGCTCCTTATTTGCGAATTGGTGTTGCTACTTTTTCTTTTTTTTTAGTGTTTATTTGAATTCGGATAGCTCAACAGTACAAAAGTACAGCTACAAAGAACACCGAATAGAAGGCCCCGAGAACGGGAAACCAAAAAACAAAACAAAAACAGCAACATCAATTTACTGATTATGCACATTGCTTGAAAGCAAATCACAACAATGATTAAGAGTTAAGCTGTCTTTTAGCCAAATTACCAATTTGACGCGGAAATCTGCGATAGTAGTGCAGGACTTCAGGTCGTCTGGTAAATAATTCCAAACAAGAGCCGATTTACTTGAAAAGGACAGAAAGCCAGACATAGATCTATAGCGATTGATACTCATGTTATGAGTTGTCGAGCCGCGAGTAGTTCGGGAAGACGTACAGATGGGAAAGAGAGACTGCAAGCAAACAGCCGGCTTAATACAGTAACAGTGGAAAATGAATACAAGGAACAAAAATATTGACCGATATTGGAAAGAGGAAACATTGAGGTGGTGAAGAAGTGGCGTGATGTTAGCTTGGGGTGATGCGCCACAAGCAACTCGTACAGCGCGCCGGTGGAGTGAGGCTAGCTTGTTTCTATTTTTAGCGGATATAAACGAAAGTATACAGGGCGAGCATATTCTTGATCAAGCTGAATAACACCGACAACGAAAGTACGGCGGGCAAACAGGTTCATCTGGCTACTGATGTCGTATTTCATGTGCATGGGTGATCAAGTGAGAAACTTCCATGATTGCTTTCCCATTATTTTTTCTTCTTCAACAGGAATTATGTGTTCGGCACCAATCCCACAAGTAACAGATGGTGGTGTAGAAATGGGAGGGACCACATATTTGACAGTGCGAGGATTTTTTTGTAACCCAGACTACGCCCTCAGTGGAAGTAGGTACACTGTCTGTCAGGCTGACGGAACATGGTCAACAGCAACTCCAAATTGCACCGGTAAGGACATTTAGGAAATGTAATTCTGGTTGCATAATGCAATGCGATGGTGTATGCATGGAGCACCGAAATGGCCGATAAAGCTTTTCGTTCAGATGTGAAATTTCTTGTTATCTCTCTAGATAATAATGTTTCCACGCTCTTGTGTCCATAGAAAACACATGCCGGACTCTAATGACCCCTATGAATGGATATGTCTACATGGATGACAGAACATTTGGTTCAAAGGCAAGTTTCAGCTGCATTGCTGGATATCGGTTAACGGGTGTGTCAAGTGTTACGTGTCTCACCAGTCAGACCTGGTCTGCACCCAGTCCAACGTGTACAAGTAAGTAAAAAACACTTTCCAATATATAATGAATACTTTTCTTTGTGCTGCGGTTATTTACACTGGCATGAGAGTCGGATTGAAGACCATAAGGTATCAGTCACAATAAGATGCAGCCCAAGTTAACTTTTCTCTGAACCGATAACATGATGCCATGCCCGAGAAATGCAAGTTGAAGATCACTAAGCCCAAAGTGGAATTTTTAAGTTCCATTTGAAAGTACGGAGAACGATCGCGGTGAAAAGTGCGCTTTTCAATTTCAGCGCTCTGCTATATATTTTAGCAATTTCGATCGTGTTTCTGTTCAATTAAACTGCTTGTATCGGAAGTATAGCTTGCTCTAGCTGTTGTCGATGTCTACTAGTGATGGTGAACGCCTGGAGAGAGTTGTAGCAACGATATAGTCTCAGGATCTGAATCGAAAATGAGAACTTCCATCGCTGAAGCCATTGCAGTATTCGCTCTCCAAGCAGCAGCGAGAGGGAGCGCAGCGATGGCCTGAAATAATCAAGGCAGGTGAAATTCCTCACCCAGTGACTATTCCTGGTCTTTTCAATCACCAATACCCTCGTTGGACGCAAGTAGATAAGCGAAAAGTACATATTCAAATCTGACACAATTTCAATACCGGTAGACTCCCTTTAATTCGAACCTCAAATTGCCAGGCGCTAACTTCGAATTATCCTGAACTTCTAATTATCTAAATGCAGCCCCATGCACTGATATGTATGTCAAAATGCTTGAAATCGCATGCTGAATATTTTTCCACATTTTTATTTGCATCAACGAAACATAGGTGGTAGTACCGGTCATGTACAACTAAGAGTCCATAAACGTGTGTGCACTCTTGCCTTGGTACAACGGATCATCAAAACACTGGATCGACACAAAATCATTTTGACATTATCTTCATCTTCTAGTGAAGAAGTTGTCAGTCACTGCAGCTTTCCTGAAACAATTTCAACGGAAAAGAACTGCGCTGTCTAATCCGCGTCATGAAAGGCCGTCGCACAGCAGCACGTCGTTCTGAAGAACGGAAGTGAAGCATAGGCTAGGCATAGACAATATTTACAACAATAGTGTTGTTGTGCGCCAACATCTCCGCGCACGAGCTGGCGCGGTAAGAAAGGCCATCGAGATCTGCGAAGAGAGTCAGCCACCTGGAAGAAGTCGTCTTCAATCAAACCTTTGCAATTCGCCTCGCACGGGTTTGAATCAAATTTCGAGAGAAGGTGGGTTTCTTGAACGCTATAGTCGATCCTGCAGCGGACCATCGATCGATTTTTGAGCTACTCTTGGCTAGAGAAGAAGAAAAGAATGAACTTCGAATTACAAGGATAGCAACTCAATCTCACTTCGAAATAAGCGTTCAAAGGACATAGCCAATGTACTGTAAACAGCTCTTCTGTACGAAGACTGGGTTCGAATTATCCAACCGGCGCACTTTTCGTACTTCGAATTATGCATTCGATTTTGACTTGAAGTGACTTGCAGAAGATCGGAACGACGAAAAAGTTCGAATTACGCGGAATGTTCGAATTATACCGTATTCGAATTAGAGGGAGTCTACCTGTATTTTGAAATTTTGATGCAATTGTTTGGCACCTGGTATTTACGCAATATGGCTCTTTTCCGTCCATTTTGCTATTGTTCAAGCATGCAAATGGCGGCTGTAATCTAGTACAGTGGTCTCCTGTCGCTCTGTGTGAAGCAGGGCAATGTTAGCAAGTCTATACACGATTCAAAAGTACACTGATCTAAATTGTCAGGAATATGGACAATTGACTCAGAAATAGGTATTTCAGGTTTGGCCTGTATCTGTAGTTGTGGTGCTCGGTCAAATATTTTCTTACCTGGACACGTTTGACACCAACAGATTCAGAAAAAAATAACTTCCATAGACAAAATGTGTCTTAGTTTCATGCTATAGGTCCATCATTACCGATGAGTACCCTGCGCATACAGTAGATGCCTGGTACACAAAAATTGGAAAGGGAAAATCATCCAAAGACCGAACGAAAAATTGGAAAGGGAAAAGTCATCGAACAGCTGAGCTTTCTCCAATAACCTCTCAATGACCGAAGGAGCAGTTAGTCGGAAGAGTGTTTCAGTACTGTAGAATTACTAATTGTAACCATTAATTTTGTTGCCTTTCTCTGGATTTACACCGATTCGCGGTGATTTTTTCAATTTCGAGTTTCAGAATTGAACAGGAAGATGACAAGCGCTATATTACGCATGCAATAGTTCGATTAGTGCTGCTTTAACTGTAGCAAAAAATTCCTTTCGATAAAATGGCAAAAGTACCACCGGTGCTATAAATACTGGTTTTACAGTACTCCAAAGGAATCTCTTAAAAATCTCAGATTTTGAGTTTTTTTAACTCTATACATAATTTTATTTTCATTATTTTATTGGTTTGGTGAGACTCTCATGATAGGTATCCATTTACCTCTGGAGAATCCGTAAATAAACAAACAAAACCAAACTCTTGTTGTTGTGGGAAGTATATGATTGTGGTCGGCCACAGAGTGCAGCAGTGATAGTGGTGTATTCAACGCAGACTTTTCGAGGGCCAAATGGTGCTTCTTGCCTTCTTCTATAGCCTAGCTCTGTATAGGCATAAGAAAACCTAATGATTTGATTACAGTGGTGATATCAACATATATTCACACTGAAGTGGAGGTTTGTGCATATAAAATGATTAATATCGTGGATGACTTGCTATGTTCTGTATCTTTATAGGTTGTATGTGGTCATGGCTGACTTTCATTCCTATTGCTATAATAGCTATCTCTGTGTTGGACATTGTTGCAAATTGCTTGGACTTCTACTCTCCATTGCATGTTGTGCTTGAAAAGAGCTCCAGAATGGTGGTAGCCATTCTTTTGTTGTACATGTGTATTTGTGTGTCTGTGGGTGTGTTTGCCCTATGCAGATATCACTTGCCCTTCTCCACCAACAGCACTGACAAATGGTGCTGTGTCCAGCGGTACTAATACATTTTCATCAGTGCGTCAGTACAGTTGTATGGAAGGTTATCAATTGAGTGGTACGAGTTACACAATATGTCAAGCCGACGGGTCATGGTCAACTGCCAATCCAATGTGCACACGTGAGTACCATACCCTCTGTGCTGCTTTTCTTTGCATATAGCTCGTACTGTAAGTCAGCAAATGTTCGGCCCATGTGTATTTTCGGCTATCTTCGGCCTGATCATGTCTGGCCGAAAATTTGTTGCAGCCGAAATGTGTTTTAGCCCCGGAAGGCCGAAATTTGAATAGGCCGAAAAAACATTTTGTGACTTACAGTATTCTGTGGAGAGTGACTGCAGAAAAGCGTAGCCCTGGGCAATCAAACAAATCGAACTTCGCACAACACGAGCACGAAAGAAAGAGACGGCTGGGCGCTCTCAGGACGCATTCCAGTACTTCTCCAAAAGAATGATGCTATCAACAGTTCCTCCATGGATGGACCAATCCCAGCTTGAGATAGAAATTGGAAATTCTTGGTTCATGTATTCCCGATAGTATGGACTGTGTAGGAAGATCGGATCCAATGTAATTACATAATTTTAATTATAAAGAAAGGAAATAGTGGTAACGACTTCGGCAATGGTAACACACTTTACTCTCCACACCGGAGTTCAAGCTTTTCCATGGACTTGCCTTGAGACTTGACTGACTCATGACTAGCATCGAGAGCATGCAATACGTGCAACAAGCTTTTATTTCCGGAAACTTGCAAGAAAGTGCATCTCCTTGCTCAGTACATGCGTTTTGGAGAATTCATCCCTCATCAGTAAGGTCTAGTTAAGTTGGCGGAAAAGCGGTAGATCCAGTGTGGGGAGCGAAAACCATTCCGATATAAAGAAAGGGGAGATTCAGACAATCCAACCAGGTGAATCTGAAGTGGCGTAATGCGCGAGTGCTACAATTGTAAAGACTCTCTCCATTCCAGCCAACTCATACCCGGTGTGCCAGTGGACGTGTTGTTCACCCTACTTTGTCATGCTGCTGGCTGTTGCTCCGCCATTGTTGATTGATGGCAAAGTCATGCAGACATTAGCTGTAATAAGAAAAGGCATATTACATGAGATCACGCACTGGGCCCAAGTAAATATTAATAATATCATATGTCCTTTTCCTTTCCACATTTATTTTTATAGCTCAACATCCGAGTTTCAAATATCATATTGCACGACTATAGCGCGGTTTATGTTCTTCTTATGGCTTCTCGTACATCACACTTGGTCATATACGGAGAGCCGATTTTTGGTACCACTTTGTGTTGGGATAAAACAGCATGGAACCTCCTATGTTTAAATTCTCAGTTTATTTTCCTGACCAAAAAGCTCAAAAATTTACAGCTACTCACGAATGCAAATATTCCCTGTTTTTTATGCCCGGTTATGGGTAACGGCACACATTTATTTATTTTTTATTTCACCTTCCCGTGGCCAGTGAATATAGGCCAATATGGAGGGGGGGTCGGTAGCCAGAAAACGACTCCGACACAATTTCGCTGTCTCCAGAATCATCCGCAGAGTCATTACCCGCCTCACACTGCTTCACAGGACTCCTTCCAACGACACAGAGTAGTTGAGCTACTTACCTTGCCGAGAAACAGCAGGGCAAGATGACGAAAACGAACTTTGATCAAAACAATTTATTTGAACGATATGGCAAAATACGCACTTCAAACTCTATGCTCGCGGCTGTTCTGCTGTGCAGGCTGGCCACATATGCTGCATACACGTCGATCAGGTCCTTCAGCCCACTGAGGAACAGTTCCAGGCCCCACTGATGTTGAGCATCAGTACAAACGCGACGTACACTGAGGACGTATATAAACGTCGTCAGTGCACACATCATGACGTATATATACGTCGACAGTGGTGAAAGGGTTAAACACAGATGATAAAATTGAATGCCCTCTATCCGAGTGTCTGGGTCAGTAAAATAACTTCAGCTCTCGCCACACTGCGGTACAAAGTACTCTGTCTACATCCACGCAAGGATCTTTGGGTGGGAATGATGATCCATTGGAGCGGTGAAAACGGTAGCAGATGAAACAGGAAACGTAGATGTAGCCCGGACAGAGGGCATACAACTTTTCGGATGAACAAATTTGAATATTTTCACTTCACCACATTGCCAATTTCCTACCTGACGACGGAAAGCGCCTCCTCAAGCTCCAACACCATGCCCTTGTTCAGACGCCAGCACGCCAAACACTGCAGCGTAGTCACCTCTACCGAGTCTGACAAGAAGTTTGAAATGATAAACCTTGTTACTCCAAACAAAAAGCATTTCCTTCCCTGAAGGACTCGAATTTCAGCAGCAGCGAAGCTCTGCAGAAGTTCTAAAAAATATTGAGCAAATCTCGATTTGTGCGATCAAAGCATGATATTTTTGCGTCTGGAAACTCGCGGTGCGCCGACCACCGCTTGACATTGCAGATCAAGGGATTTGATGGAGGGGATCGACAATGAAGATCAGAAAATGTAGAACCCTTTTTACGAGGCATGTCCTGGGTGGTGGTAGTGGAGATAGTCCAACGTCCTGCAGTGCAAGTTTCAGGACAATAGACGTCGTTAGTGGTTCCCGCCATGGCCCTTGAAATTTGCTTTTTTCAGCGATACAAATTAGTGATATTTAGAGATGATAGCCATTGCTTTATGTGATGGTAATGTCAAGACTACTCAGGTGAGGTAATGTTGGCATGGTGATAGTTTGTTCTCAGCTCCATTGTGTACGCTGTACCAGCGCTAGTTTTTGGAACCAAAATTCAGTCGTATTTTGGGCCCATTTCGAGGTGGTCCCCAGTTCCAAGGTGTCCGTAAGTTATGCAGCGAGCCCTTTTGCATGGTTGTTGTAGACCCCAAACGAAACGTACTTGCAAAACTTGAGCGAAATCGAAGAGATGGCCCAGCCCAGCTTTTCTGGGTTTCTCGGGCATGCTCTCAATTTCTCCAAAAACGTGACCACATGAACGGGTCAAAAATTGTGGCTGAATGATGAGACAACTGCCAGTTTGGAATTTTCACCGTAGACCTAGACGTAGAAGAGAGTCGGTGAACGTAGTTTAATGACAGCCTCAACGGGTATGTCATATACGTGTTTCACTGCATTAAATCACCTGTATCTAATGTGTGCAATTCACTGCTATAAAAAACACATGTCCTTGTCTTTTGACTACAGAGATTACATGTCCTATGACTACACCACCTCCAGCAAGCGGCACTGTTTCCAGTTCTGCAAACACCTATTTATCATCTCGTCAGTACTCCTGCATGACCGGATATACGCTGACTGGTAGTACAGATACGGTTTGTTTGTCCAATGGAAAATGGTCCGGCACTCAGCCCACGTGTTCAAGTAAGTGGAAATGCCAGTGTTATTATAGCAATGTCCCTCTTTATGGTAGCAGCCTGGTCGTAAATTTCATATGGCATTCAATTGACCGTAACTTTGGTGTCTCTCAATGGATTTGAGTGAAATTTGCACCACACACTTCTGCCACTATGCTGGCCCTCTGGACATGATTTAAAAGATCTTGTGTCTCACTGACAGGCTTTCCAGGCCGGAAAAACCCAAAATTCCGGCATAGTGCCACGGTGTGCGAGCCACCACGGAGGCAAAAATATGCATTTACAATTTGTTCACATTTTCTTGCCCCTTTTGTCCATGCGCGGGATCCAAACCTAAAAAAAGTCTAGAAGCAGCCATGGGTGGTGGGATAGGGCCCCTCAACGTGGCCCTGGAATCGGTCACAACCGCAAAAGTGGGCGTTCTCTCACAGACTCCCACAGACCCAAGTCAATTTTTGATTTTTTTTGTTTAAGGCGTGCTACGAGGCCGTACCTTTGATACAACATCTAATGCTGGGACCTCCACAGCAAGCCATTTCCACAGCGCTGCAAACCAAATCCAGGATACCCTCAAAATTCAGCAAAGACTACCACTCACGTTCCACTACTGCCTAGTGCTGAATCCTACCTGACTTCTTGACACGACTCAAACTTGCGAAAGTCACTAAATCAACGTCAAATACAATAATTAAGCCACATATCTCCAACGTCACGAGGGTGCTGGCAAAAATCCTGCTGCGTGGTGGCGGGCCTGCGCCGTGCAACCCAATACATGGCCTTAAAAACGCGATTTATGGACTTGGAGCAAAATTCGTTGCGCACGGTCTGTTCACATTCAAACACAGTGATGCCAAAAAATGACAGCGTGCAACAAAACAATCTTTCCTTGCAAGGGCACATTTTCGGCATAACTCTTGAATGCCTGGTCAGATCAAAACAAAATTTTCAGAGATTTAGCACCTGTTCGTGCTCTCTCAACTGATGTAGCACTCGACATGAATTTATAAACTCGATTTTCAGGGATTTTACGACCAGGCTGCCCACTCAATTCAGGACTTCACAAAACAGGAAAACCTTTCAGAAACCAAAACGTTCTCAGATTTTGGTAATCCTGCACCCTCCCTTATCTATCATAACTTCCAGGGAGCAAAGTTCAGCAAACGGTGCCGGATTTTTACCCACATCTGTACATAAAAAACAGGGAATATTTGCATTCGCGAGTGGTCGTTTTTGGTTTAGTTTTGAGTTTTCCTTTTTGGTCAGGCTGAAAGTATGAAGCCAAATTGCCACTATATCCGGACAAATGTTCACTATTTGTGAATTGGTGTTGCTACGGATTTCGAATTTCATGTGCATGGGCGATCAAGTGAGGAACTTCCATGATTGCTTTCCCAATATTTTTCCTTCTTCAACAGGAATTCTGTGTTCGGCAACAATCCCTCCAGTAACAAATGGTGGTGTAGAGATGGGAGGGACCACATATTTGACAATGCGAAGATTTTTTTGTGACCCAGGCAAAGCACTCAGTGGAAGTAGGTACACTGTCTGTCAGGCTGACGGTACATGGTCAACAGGAAGTCCAATTTGTACAGGTATAATGACATTTGTAAAATGTAATTCTGACTGCATAATGCAATGCGATGGTGTATGCATGGAGCACCTAAATTGCCGATAAAGCTTTTCGCTCAGATGTGAAATTTCTTGTTATCTCTCTAGATAATTATGTTTCCATGCTCTTATGTCCACAGAAAACACATGCCCGACACTATTGGCCCCTATCAATGGATATGTCTACATGGACGGCACGGCTTTTGGTTCAAAGACAAGTTTTGGCTGCAATGTTGGATATGAGTTGACGGGTGTGTCAAGTGTTAGGTGTCTCACCAATCAGACCTGGTCTGCAATCAGTCCAACGTGTACAAGTAAGTAATAAACACTTTCCAATACATAATGTAACGCTTTTCTTTGTGCTCCGGTTATTTACACTGGCATTAGAGACGGATAGAAGACCATTATGTATCAGTCACAATAAGATGCAGCCCAAGTTAACTTTTCCCTGAACAGCTCGCATGATGCCAAGCCCAAGAAATGCAAGTTGAAGATCATTTAAAAGACCAAAGCGGAATTTTAAGTTCACCAGGAATTCTCGAAAGCATCCAAAAACAGAATTCACCATATCAATAGGTTTGTTCCTGCACTTGCGCCCAAACAAACCTTTGGGCCCTTGACATAGCCAAAAACTTCCTCTTCATCTAAAAGGCACCTCCTTCTTGGGGCTCTCCTATTCAATCAGGTCATGCGATAACAGTGTCGTGCCATGTTATCGCATGAGCTGATTGTAAAGTAACTAGGAGTGGTAGTGCATGTTCTAAAGTAAATTGTAGCTCTTTGATTCTTGTAGATCTTTGGTTCTCTTTTCTCCTTATAAATGAATCCTTGGCTCTCCACCCGAGTCACACAAATGTTTCACGTAATTTTAGCCAACTTTGAGGTAGATCACGTTCGATTTTGACGCTAGCCATAAGGCACTTAAGCATTTTTTTCACGGTGGGAATCATCAAGCATGGTCCGTGACAGAATGACTTTCGAACATAATTTCAATTTTTAATTCATTATCTTCCAATGAAGCCGAAACCATGTAGTACAATAATTCCGTTCCTATTCCTCATGTCCATATCGGTTACCTTCAGACCATCCCGTTGGTTCCCGTAATTCCCCAAGTTATGTCCAGTTGCGCCACTTGGAAGGTGAATTAAACTTTGTACTGGGATGATGCGGTTCTGTAATGTATGTAGTAATGAGTGTTTGGTTTCGAATGATAAATGGAGTGGCGTAACCAAATCAGAATGTCTGGAGAGGTCACATGATTAGGTGCATTGGTATGGTGGTTCTGTCAATGTTCAGTGGTCCTCAGTGAAATCCAGCCGTATCACTCAAGTTTGGGTCTTGCATCATTCTGCAGCCCAGTGTTCGCAGGTCTCTGGCTCCGCACATACTGGAGTTACGTAGTTGGATTTCACTCAGCATTACAGTATATTCTGTGTATTCACTTGCAGAAATCACCTGCCCAGTGCTGGCTACACCACCCAATGCACTAGTATCTCCAGGCACAGTGGATTTCCAGGCCCAACGTACATTCTCCTGCAGTGATGGATATACCCTCTCGGGGGATTCACAACTGGTCTGTCTGTTGAATGGATCTTGGTCTGCCCCACTTCCAAACTGTTCCAGTAAGTGCTTGTGGACATTCTACTCTCACCTTTCAATCACATCAGGATTAATAAATATTCCCGCATGACACTGGGTATGATGCTCCATGTGCTGGGGCCTTAAGTTAATTTGGTATGCTAAAACCTGAGGGACAGATTTCTTTGTCATAGATTGGGAAACTGCCCGAAATCGATGAAAGACACAACCTGACATGCTTCCGACGAAGTTTTGGGAAGCGTTTTGGAGGCAGGGTACAAGAAAATAGCCCACTCTTTTTTCACGGTTCCATTGATATCCGTTTAGGGATATCAATGCGCACACTAAAAAAATTTGAAAAAACCCGTAGTTACCATGAATATTTACCCCTGAGAGGGACATTTGAGAGATTTAATCCACTCGATGAAAATCAGCTCAAGGCCTTGCTTTTCCGCCAAAGATTATAATCATTCTTGGCTTCCACTGGATTTCTTAGATTTCCCTTGTTTTTTATTGCGCTGTGAAGTGGAGTAATACTCTAGATCTGGCCTGATGCAGCTCTGGCCCAGGAGCGGGGCTGACCGACTGCCAGAAGCGAATAGTGGCAAAAAAATAGCTAGTGTGGGTCAGATTTTGTTCATTGTGCGTATCCAGTGTGGCCGTGATGAAAAGTAGAAAATTACTATTCCCGGTTTATAATCTGAGGGTTGTCTCCTCAATGTGACCGGCCCCTTAGATCAGCTTCAAGAATCAAGGTACATATACTAAAAATTTACATAATATGGGCCTCAACCAGCGAAAACAGTCAAATTTTTCAAAATTCCTTTTTGGTTAGAAATTTGTTGAAACACATCTACTGAAGTACCTCAGGCAAGAAAAAGTTCAATATTCCGATTCAAAACGGGTGTATACACCAATAATACAAATATGTACTCCAAATTGGTGCAATGTATGTATACGATGTATGTTTACAATAAATATTCAGCATTCTAAGGTGGGTAGGCAGCTTGAATACCTTTGAAATAGTGCAGTAAGCAGCTAGAATGACAAAGAATAGCGGAAGAGTGCGGAGACATGATCGACTTATTTGCAGCTGCATCCTGCGTGGAGTCGTTCCGCAATGTCTTCCATTTCTTCCTGCGCAGTCAGGTGATGACTCCTCATCTTCCGACTCTGACGAGTCATCGACCACCTTGAGCCGCAACGCAGCAGGAGATGACGGCTGCGATTCCGCCTAGCTGTCGACATGGATGTCGGAACCAAAGAACGTCTCATCCTCACTCCGAACTTCAGCGGCTACTTCAGCATCCACTCCCCATCAGGCTCGAGCTAGCTGTACACAATGACTGCCGCGTGTGCTCTGCGAACAGCTCTGGCATCCGCAGCCATCGCAACAAGATCAAGGAACACTCGAGTCGCCACTCGACACCACTTCAACTAACTTCAAATAAATTCAAACAAGGAGATCAAGAAGAACTCGTCGCGCTGTTTGCAGCGCGATCAAAAAATCGTTGAACGTCACAAATCGACCTTTTTCTTGAAAACAATTACGAAACCTCTAAGGGTCGTTTTCGCTGATTGCAGCTCATATACGGAAATCGGTTAATTTTTACTTTGCATGGCTTTCCGTGTCCACTAGGAAATGTGATGACATTACAGTCCATTTCAAAACTATAGACGCGTACCTAGGCGAAAACCGTTATGCCAGCATCTATACCACATAAAATCTGTGATCACTTTGTGCATATTTTTTTCCAAATTGGGCGTCTGTTATCCAATCGTTTAGAAACTATAATGAGAGTAATTGTGGAGCGGACCTAAGCAATATTTCGAAAACTTTTCTCAAAAAGTTCCAGCCAAATTTGAAATATTTCAAAATACTGCGCGTCTATAGTTTTGAAATGGACTGTAGGATAGCAATGGTGACAAAAGTATCACCGAAGTCGTACCAACCACTTCTTCAGAATGGTGACAAAGCCTCCAAAAATAATCATATTTCACACAGGTGGTCACACATTGTATCTGCTTGTGTGTGCACGTATTAATGCCCATAACCAATTTCTCTTCATTGCGAAAGATTAGAAAAGGGGAAATGTCTGCGCCTTAATTCACTCTCACCATCAGTATGTGTGTATGTTTGTGAATGTGTATTAGACTGATAAAACAGACCCGCTAGTTTTACTATTCAATTTACCTCGACATGCTCTGGTTAACCCATTCAGCGCTACTGGGCCTTGCCTATGCTATGCATATAAATGCTAAAAACAGGGCCAATAGCAAGTTCTAAAACTCCAGGGTTCTGGCAACTGAGGTTCTCAAATATTATGGAAATGATTGCCAAGACTATCAACCACAGGGTGACAGAATCGATACAGTCCCCAAAAAGAATAGCGCATCGCAACAGGGGACGGAAGTTTGCTCAAATTGCGTGAAATAGGCCAAATGCGTGAAATTGCAGCTGAAACATCGCTGAAAAGAGAAGAAAAAAAGTTTTAAGCCCCCAAGATGGCAGAGGTCGCATCTGTTCACGGGAGAGACAGATGAATCCCGGGACATACCACCCTGGGGCCTAATAAATTACAACTCCGGGGAGAGGGCAACTTTGTCTAATTGTTGTTGTTTTATTTAGAACAAAGAGGAAGAAATGTTTCATGCGCATGCGTATATTTGGTAAGGGAGCTGACGTCATGCAACGAGGTCGCTACAGTACTCCCCCACCAGAGAACAAGCGGAGCGCAGAGAATGACAGAGAAAAACCCAGGAAATAGAAAGAGCGTCATCACGTCGGGGTCACCAATTTAGTAAATTTAGGTCTGCGCCTGCTAAGGGGGCGCGCAAATCGGGCCACTTCCTACTCACAACGGACATTTCGACAGTTAGCGGCAATGATTACTTTACACGTTACAGTTAGAATGATCCAGCAGACTACTTATGAACAAGAATATGTATAGAGGCAAGGAGCCATAAAATGGTGCTTCGGCAAGGGCCAAGCAAGCAGAGAGACTCTGGAAGAGAAAAGCAAGCTGGTTGGCGGCAACCGTATGCAAGAGTGAGGTCCGTTGTTCCATACGGTACGGCAATATGCTAACGTACACTAAAGCCAGTGCTTCCAAAAACATTGCGGAAAGTGCAGCATGGGCTGCACAAAAGCGTGTGGGTGACTGTGAGAATTATGACGTAGCAAGTCGTTGCACGACAAAGACTTGTAGTGGTTCCAAGCGGGATTCGTACCAAAAACCTATCGTACAAGAGGCAGGATAATAGACACCCTTAGCAAACAACGGTAACGCTATTTTTTACGGTACTCGTACCTTGATCACCCAAATAGCGTTGAAGCTGCAACGTATAAACGTTATGGGGGCTGATTTATCGTTGTGACCAACGGTACGTGTTTTGGCCAAATATTGCATAGTCCGTACGCATTTCACCTTGTATCGCGTATATGGTGACAAAATGGTTGTACCGCGCGAAATCAAAGCTATTCTCGTGGCAATAGCGTACTAAAAATAGCGTGCATCTTGCTAAAGGTCGAACCCAAATCACGGTAGTTTCCCCCTTACGATAATACCGTTACAACATAACGTTTTTTGCTAAGGGTGTCTAATGATCCAACTGACTAACAGTGCTTTTACAAACCAGGGAGTGCCAGAAATCGCTATAATATCCCATGACGTCTATAGACGTCATCCGCGCATGGGGGGCATTTTCAATGACATCTATAGACGTCATCAGCGTTCAATGGGTTAAATCCAGATGTACAGTGTTGCTCAGTGATATACAATCGTATCGCTCAAGTATGTGTCGGGCGTTGAGTAGCCCTCGACCTGCGAATCCTGGGCTTTGAAATAATGCAAGGCGCAGACTAGAGTGTCGCGACTAGATTTCACTGAGCAGCATCGTGTTTAGTCCATGTTGTTTACCTGCGAGTGATGGGCAAAGTCACCCATTATCTTCATTATCTTCATTGTTGCAGACCGTCAAAAGCAAGTGCGGTGCAAAAAGAATCGTTGTATGGGTCCATTTGAAATTTAGAAGCAACAATGTGTTGCTGGAATGTTTGTGATACTTGTTGATAGATGGCATAAATGCGTGAATGCGTGAAAATGCAGTGCCTGTTCATACTTAGGATGCTATTCTTCCGGGAACCAGTTTACAGCCGGTTGACTGGAACCAAAAAAGCGTTTAAACCCTCCAAGGACGAGATACCTCGTCATGAAACAACCACCCCTGAATGGCCAAGGAGGACGTAACTCGTCATGCACACGGAGCATATAGGCACTGTACAAACAGCTATAACTTCGGCCTCCCTCCTTCAAATTCAACATATAACGGCTCTCTGAAAAACTATTCGCCGCAGCTTTCCAACTAAGTCTTGTAAATCAAACTCCTCCGCCATTGCAGACCTAGAGAGAGAGAGCAAGAAACAACCAGCCAGAGACAGCGCCGAAATCGAAAGAAACGTAGTACAGGCACAGAAAGTCGTTCACAGTCCGCCGTACCCGTAGAGAGTTCACGACCCATTGATCCCGAGATGGACCTGACTAGCAGTGTCAGATCCGACGTTGAAAGCTCAAACAACAAGCCGTCCAACTCCCGTACACATGGTACACCCGGACCCAGCTCGGAGTTGATCCCGCCACGTGTGGATCGCTTGCTGAAATTTGAAGAGATGAGTGAGGATTCGGACGCCACATGGCGACTCATCACCTCCACCAAACCCACAGCGAAGAAGAGAGTCCTGTTTGTCGGAAATCTGATGCATGCAATTACTGCAGACCAGCTGAAGGAGTTCATCGCAGCAAGAGAAGCTGAGGCTGACCACAATGTCCAAGTGTTTGACGTAAAAATATTTCAAAAAGAAAAATCCTCCACTGCGCGTATTGTTGCCAGTGCAGCGGACGAATCGTTTCTCAGCAACAAGCGCTTCTGGCCAAGGCCTGTGTACACAAGAGAGTGGAAATTCGATAAGTACACCCAGTCTGATGCCAGTGGAGATCAACAAACAGCGCAGAACAGCAACACGAGTACCAACAGCAGCAGCAGC